ACTGTGCTTAAATATTAACTTCCAGCATCTCGTCTGAACTAAAAATCTGAACAAAGTACAAGAGGTATGAGAAAGCAAATTGATCAAGCACCTTTGATTATTCAAAATTACGGTAAAGCAAGTCTCAAGGACTTTGATATGGCTTCTTTCATTGTGTACATCAGCTATCTGTACCCACAAGTGAGGCATGACTCTTAGTCACATACAGAATCAGATTACCACAATCTCTCTTTCTGCTGGAGATTAAAAAAAAATACAGTACTTGATTTTTATCGTAATGCAATCTTACCATTTTTGGTGTTTACCATGTCATAGTAAAATTACATCAGAATTAGAATGACATATACTTCAAATCATAAAAAACAAAACTGAAGTAGAAAAGAAAAATAACAACTGCAAGACATGCAAATAATTAAGGGCTCTTTGAAAAAGCTTGGTTTTTAGTAACTTCCAGTTAGCCCATTTTGTAGTTTTGTGCTCTTTTGGAGAAGTGGTGTCCTCTAGCTTCAGCTTCTGTGTCATCTAGGAGGTGTGGATCAACACGGAGTCCTCTTTATATGATCAAATAGGCCGGTTTGACTCCAGTTGGAGGAGGCGATCCTGTCGGTATCTAGGTGCCAAATCTAGAAGGTCTTTATAGATTAAAGCACATTAAATTGTACCCAGAGCTGAATCAGCAGCCACTGCAGAGGGCGCAACACAGGTATAAGTTCCCAAGGGTAGAATTCACAATAGGTTAATGGACCGTGGATGGTAAACAGCGGCATATTCTATGTTCCCAGCAGCTTCTGAATTAATGGTTACAATCTTTCAAGAAATTGTAGAAATGTAGGAGATTGAAATAGAATAAAATTTTCTTCAGAAATTTGTAATTTCTATAGTAAATCAGCTAGCCAGGAATTTGCTCTAGTACATATAATATATTTTATACATAATTCATTTTAATCATTGATTTGCTTAATAAAAAAATAAATTTTTGTCCTACCTCTGTCAAGGAAGGAATGAACAGTGGCAAGACAGCAGAGCTGCTTAACTTTGCATCAGTTTTCACATAAAAAAGAAATATAGCCTAACCTACTAAAAACATGACTGTAAAAGACAGATTAGAAATACAAATTAAAATAAGCAAGAAAATGTCTGATCTAGGTGAGTTCACCTCACCGGGACCTGATGGATTACATCCCAGAGTTCTGAAGGAGATAGCAGATGTTATCTTGGAACCACTGAAACATAATTTCAAAGATCCTGGAGCACCAGGAAACTATCTGAATGACTTGAAAAGAGCTGATGCGGTTCTCATCTTCAAAAAAAGGGGGGGAAAACAGATCCAGGAAATTACAGACCAATCAGCCTGACATCAATACCTGGGAGGATCCTGGAAAAGATGATCAAAAAACATCTGCAAACACCTAAAAGCAAGTAAAATTATAATCAGAAGCCAACATGGGTTTGTCAAAAACAGATCATGCCAAGCAATTCTTATTTCATTCTTTGACAAAGTGACTAAATTAGTGGACCAGCAAAATGCTATAGACATAGTATACTTGGATTTCAGTAATGCATTTGATGAAGTAGACCACAACTTCTTGGTAAGCTAGAAAACTTCGGGGGACACAGCATCACCACCAGATGGATTTGTAACTAGCTGACAAACCACACTCAATGAGTGGTCCTTGATGGTACTACATTTATAAGGAGGGAGTAAGCAATGGAGTACCCCAAGGTTCCATCTTAGGCCCAGTACTTTTCAATATATTTATGAACGACTTAAATGAGCGAATAGAAGGGGAAACTCATCAGATTTGCAGGTGGTGCTAAGCTGACAGGAATAGCCAACACCCCATATGATAGGCTCAGTATCCAAATGGATCATGACAAACATGAACACTGGGCCCTATGCAATAATATGACATTTAATGTAGAGTAAAGAAAGGTTTTTATAACTGTTGTAAGTGGAGGACTATTTGTATTCTGTATTTTCAGAATGGGGCCTCTGGCCAGTTCATGTAAACACATATTTATATGCACAAGCACATGTAGAGATAGTCCTTGACTTACAACAGTTTGCTTAGTGCTGTTCGAAGTTAGAACGGCATTGAAAAAAGTGACTTATGACCATTTTTCAAACATACAACTATTGAGCATCCCCATGGTCGTGTGATTTACATTGAGATGCTTGACAACTAGGTCACATTTATGACAGTTGCAGTGTCCCAGGGTCATGTGATCACCTTTTGCGACCTTCCGATAAGCAAAGTCAATGGGGAAACCAGATTCACTTAACAACCATGTTACTGGTTTTAACAACTGCAGCGATTCACTTAACAAATGTAGCCAGAAAAGTTGTAAAATGGGGCAAAACTCACTTAACAAATTTCTCACTTAGCAACATAAATTTGGGGCTCAATTGTGGTCATGAGGACTACACATTTGTTATGCATTTGTACACATTTATTATGCAAAATATACAGGATTATTTAGTGAATCTGTTAATCTTGGTTGAAAGATATATAGTGAAGACAGGGTGTTCATATTTTTTTGGATCACTATTCTGAGCATAGAGGGAGTATAAAGCTTTTATAGCTGACAACCAGTGGTGGTTGCCTTCTTCTTACCAGTACACTATATAGAGAAAGCACATGAGCAATTTAACAGCAAGAATTTCTTTTGTTTCATCTGGGGAATAAACTAGACCTAGAATTTTGTAGGAATCGTATCATCTGATTATTTGCTGATGATGGCTGTTTTTCTTTCAAATTTAAGAAGACATTTTAATTAGGAGTGAGATGAGGGAATAAAGAGTACAGATTGGGACTTCACATCTGTATTTATTTTTTTTTTGAAAGAAGAAAAAAACAATCTGTATAGTTGTTAACTAATCAGTACGTTTGGTTTGGTTTAGTGGCAGTGTTTCTCAACCTTGACAATTTTAAGGCATGTGGACTTCAACTCCCAGAATTCCACAGCCAGCATTGCTGGCTGTGGAATTCTGGGAGTTGAAGTCCACATGCCTTAAAATTGTCAAGGTTGAGAAATACTGGATTAAGGCATTAGACTAGAAACTGGGAGAACCTGAAATCTAGTACTGCCTTAAGTACAAAGCCAGCTGGGTGACCTTGGGCCAGTCACTTTCTCTTAGCCTTAGGAAGGAGGCAATGGCAAACCACTTCTGAAAATCTTGTGAAGAAAACTGCAAGGGTTTATTCAGTCCCTGAGAATCAGACATTATTGAATGGAATAAAAAAAGGTATAATAAAATACAAGTACTATTTCTTCCTTGAATCTTTACTATTTTTGTTAGAAGGAATATTTCTCAGTCTGTAATGACATTATTGTCATTTGGAATTGAGGAAAAATCCTTTCACTACTTGTCAAGAGCTATGAAGTGAGAGTCTGGACTCTCAACTGACTCCTCATTACAGGATATATCTTAGGATATATATCAAGAATGTTCCCATCCCTACTAGTTTTCCAAAGTACAACAGAAAGGTTACAACAGAAATGGGTATAACATTCACCAACAAGTTGCAGTCCAGGAGTTTGGACCAACTCCTTCCTGAGGAAAGCCATATGCTGTCTGGGACTCATCCAAAATATTTGAATAGTTTGGATTGGTTGTCAGCAGGAAAAGTTTTGTGTTTCCCAATGTTCAATTATGAGCTTTTTTTTTTTTTGAAATCTTGTAACATTTTAACTATTAGTGATTTTGATGTAGTGTACATCTCTACTTTGGTAGTGCAAATTATTGCATGGAAAGGGAGAATTATTCACTCTGAAAGGAAAGGACAGCATCAAGGAAAGGCAGAGGAGTTTCCTCTGGTAATTTGAGGTACCCAAAATTCATGGATCATTTTAGCAATAACAATAGTATTTAGACCAGTGGTTCTCAACCTTTCTAATGCTGTGACCCCATAATACAGTTCCGCATGTTGTGGTGACCCCCAACCACTTATACATCACCGGGTGCCAGGGGCGTGGCCAAAGAAAAGGGGGAAAAATGGCGGACAGCCTTGTTTGGCGACCCCTGTGAAATGGTCGTTCGACCCCAAATGGGGTCCTGACCCACAGGTTGAGAACCACTGATTTAGACTTATATACTGCTTCACGGTGCTTTACAGCCCTTTTTAAGTGGTTTACAGTCAGCATATTACTCTCCCAACAATCTGGGTCCTCATTTTACTGACCTCAGAAGGATGGAAGGCTGAGTCAACCTTAAGCCAGTGAGAATCGATGAGAATCGAACTGCCAAACTGCTGGCAGTCAGCAGAAGTAGCCTGCAGTACTAACCACTGCACCACCACAGTTCATTTTCCTCAATAAATAAATAAACAAGTATATTTTTGACCCATTTGTTTAATTGGGTTATTTTCATTTAGTTTTAGGACTTACATGGAGAATAGATCATGTTTTATTTATTTGCTTATTTATATATTATATTTATATGATCACCCATCTCACAAAAATGTTTTAGGTCATACTTATGCAGCATACTGATAGCCAAAAGTGTTCACAAACTTTTAAGCACCACTGTATCATAAATAGTGCTGCAGTTCAAATATTGTATCCAATTAAATTATGAGCCTCTGTAAGATTGTATTGCACGTGGAAGAAGAAATGGAAACTTAGTGAATCTTCTCAATATTCAATGTATCCATTCACAATATAATTTAAAGGCTAAGTTGTTGTATCTAAACATGTTACCATCAGCATTCCATTCCTGGTATTCCAGAATGCATAAAAAATACTAAAAACTTAATCCACTGACAACTTGGTCTTTACCTCCAAAAGCAAATAAATCCGATGAGAAAAGCTTTATTCTGAATATCATTTATTACTTTACTAAATTATTGTATGTGCATCTTGTCTTTTTATTTCCTGGGCTTTTAAAATACGTGGCTGATTGCAAATGTAGTTATATTGTAGTTATATTTTTAGAATATTTTCTAGAAAAACTGGTATTCATATATTATTTGAATCACTTTTTGGTTTTGTTTCCACAGGTTTCTGCACTATAAGTGCCTTATGTAGTCATTGTACAGAAAACTTCGTCGTTCTGATGATCATCTCTCATGGCTAGATATTGGCGTTTACTTTACAAATCATCTATAGCAGCTGCTTCTTGTGAATCTGATTCCAGCATTTAGAAAACGGGAGAAAAAATATTGAACCAAACAAGAGGACTGCTGAATCTGTAGCTTTTCCTATCTAATTAACACCAACAAAGAGGATAATACAGCCTAAAATGTATAAAAGAATGCCATTGTATGAAAACAGAGTTTTTTCCCAGTAACAGGAACGCTGGCCAGAAATGCTACTGTGCATGGTTTTTTTGCAGGCAAAAGTGTACAAATGGCATATATTGGTTGATAACTACAATGTTCACTGATAATAGCTGCTTATTCATCTTTGTATGCATTGGATTTTCTTAAGCTACACCTGATTTTATTGAAAGGAACATCTTGATTTTTTTGGAGTTTTTAAACAGAGGCTATTTCATTAACAACTCACAAAATCGAAAGCAGTTTTACATCATGGCTTCAATTGTTGCTCCAGTGAGAGACACAAAATGGCTGACATTAGAAGTGTGCAGGCAGTTTCAGAGAGGGACTTGTTCACGTTCTGATGAGGAATGTAAATTTGCACATCCATCCAAAAGCTGCCAGGTTGAAAGTGGAAGAGTGATTGCCTGCTTTGATTCTCTAAAGGTAAGAATGCATGCATTAGAAGGAGCTATTGTAAACATATCCTTATATTGAGCTCTGGTTCTGATCCCTAGATGGGTTATATCCAGTCAGTTTTCTCAACACTGGTATGGAACTGGTTTGCTATTGCTTTTTTCTAAGATGTTTCCTAGCTTCCTAGGCTAGGAATTTCTGGTTGCTATCCCATCCCATCGCCAACTGAGCCTGGCTCAGTTTAGCTTCCAAATCTAACTTAAGTTGTAAAAATGAGGCCACTGGCTGAGAATAGTAAGAAGATTCCTATAGCAAATAGATTACTGTTTGTAATTGTTCAGATATCGCTAAGACTAACTCAGTCAATGCATTATTGATTAGTAAACATTGGACTAGTGGCCAGGTACTAGGAAACCTGAATTCTAGTCCTGCCTTAGGGATGGAAGTCAGCTGGATGACTTTGAACTGGTCCCTTCTTCTCAGCCCTAAGAAGACAGTGGCAAATCATTTCTGAAAATGTTGCCAAGAAGGCTGCACGGACTTTTTCAGTAGTTGTCAGAGATCAAGTCTGACTCAAAGACATATTACCTTGCCTCATATTCATATAACACACATAATATATGGTGTGCTTTATATTGTCTCAGTCTCAACGAACTATTAGGAACTCTCTGTATTCAGATATTAGATCCCTCTTCAGGCCACAAGAGAATATGTTTCATTGGCTACAATTGAAGTTCCACCAAAATTTATCATTAGATATATTATTGATATAAGTAAATCTTAGATTCATTCATTGAATGAATGGAATATCTGCCTGTACAATAGAAGTAAAAGTTGTTGGTTCATAGCACTGGTATATACCGTATTGTCCGGCGTATAAGGCGGCTCGGCATATAAGACGACCCCCGACTTCGGCGTCGATTTCCATGCCTAGAAAGTTGTCTTATACGCCGGAAACTACTGTAATTTCCGGCGTATAAGACGACTCGGTGTATAAGACGACCCCCGACTTCGGCGCCGATTTCAACGCTTTAGAAAGTCGTCTTATACACCAGAAAATACGGTAATATGAAATCATTACCAGGTATATGTCAAAAGATATGCTTACCCAAAAGTTAGTTGTTATTTCATTTCCAATCAATTAAGTAAACCCTTTCATTTTGCACTTTTAATCTAGATCTACAGATTTACAAATTGTTCCCAGCTTGAAAGATGACATTATTTATTATTTGTTGATGACAATAAGGGGAGAAGAGGTATATGCCATCTCCCAGGAAGTAATTCTTTAGAGTAGTGGTGTGTGTGTGTGTGTGTGTAGTGTGTGTGTGTGTGTGTAGTGTGTGTGTAGTGGGGTGCCCCAGGGCTCTGTTCTGGGCCCAGTACTCTTCAACATCTTCATCAACGATTTGGATGAAGGGATAGATGGGGAACTCATCAAATTTGCAGATGACACCAAGCTGGCAGGAATAGCCAACACTCCAGAAGACAGGCTTCAGATACAGAAGGATCTGGACAGACTTGAACACTGGGCACTAACTAACAAAATGAAATTCAATGTTGAAAAAAGCAAGGTTCTACATTTAGGCAAGAAAAACCAAATGCACAAGTACAGCATAGGTGGCCCCATGCTCAATAGTAGTAACTGTGAGAGGGACCTCGGAGTCCTAGTAGACAATCACTTAAATATGAGCCAGCAGTGTGCTGCAGCTGCCAAAAAGGCCCACACAGTGCTAGGCTGCATTAACAGAGGGATAGAATCCAGATCACGTGAAGTATTAATACCACTCTTCAATGCCTTGGTAAGGCCACACTTGGAATACTGCATCCAGTTTTTGTCACCACGATGTAAAAAAGATGTTGAGACTCTAGAAAGAGTACAGAGAAGAGCAACAAAGATGATTAGGGGACTGGAGGCTAAAACATATAAGGAACTGTTGCGAGAATTGGGTATGTCTAGTTTAACGAAGAGAAGGACAAGGGGGGACATGATAGCAGTATTCCAATATCTCAGGGGCTGCCATAAAGAAGAGGGAATTAAGCTATTTTCCAAAGCACCTGAAGGCAGGACAAGAAGCAACGGTGGAAACTAATCAAGGAGAGAAGCAACCTAGAACTAAGGAGAAACTTCCTGACAGTGAGAACAATTAATCAGTGGAACAGCTTGCCTCCAGAAGCAGTAAATGCTCCAACACTGGAAGTTTTTAAGAAGAGACTGGACAGCCATTTGTCCGAAATGGTGTAGGGTTTCCTGCCCGACCAGGGGGTTGGACTAGATGACCTCCAAGGTCCCTTCCAACTTTACTACTATTACTAGTTTGCTTCAACATGTGGTCTGTGGATACCTGGGAGGCCACAATGTCACAGGGGGTCTGCAAAGGCTTTAAGAAATGTTATGATTTAAATCTTGAGTTAAGTCTTGAGGGCCATGCCCATGGTCTGTGGTCACAAAAGGTTTTTAAGGGGGTTCCATGGTGAAGTAAATGTTGAGAACCACTGTGAGATGGAGAGCTGTTTATCTCTTAAAATATAGTTGTGACATAATCAGTTCCAGATTACAGATATAAATAAAAAAAACCCTGATTACTGGATATGCAGATTTTACATTCAATCTATTCTAGAATCTACTAGAATAGCTGGTTTATTTCTATGCAAAGTTGTTAATAATAATAATAATAGTAGTAGTAGTAGTAGTAGTAGTAGTAGTAGTAGTAGTAAAGTTGGAAGGGACCTTGGAGGTCATCTAGTCCAACCCCCTGCTCAGGCAGGAAACCCTATACCAGGGGTAGGCAACCCAAAACACTCAAAGAGCCACTTGGACCCGTTTCCCACCAAAAACAAAACACCGGGAGCCGCAAAATCCTTTTGATATCTAAAATGAAGATAACACTGCATATATCCTTTTTTACCTTTATTATAGGTGTGTTTGTGTGTGTGTGTTTGTGTGTGTGTATATATGTGTGTGTGTGTGTGTATGTATACACACACGCACACACACACACACACACATATATACACGTACATACACATACACATACAGGTAAAAAAAGGATATATGCAGTGTTATCTTCATTTTAGATGTCAAAAGGGTCTCTCTCTCTGTCTGTCGCTCTCTCTCCCTCCCTCCCTATCTGCCCTTGGTCTGCCTGCCACTCCTCTTCCCCCACTCTCTTTCTTTCTCTCTCTCTCTTTCCTCTCTCTCTCTCTCTCTCTCTCTCTCTCTCTCCCTCCCTCTCTCTCTCTCTTTCTCTCTCTCTCTCCTATCTGCTGCTCACCTGGCAAGCTTCAAGCTGTTGTCCAACAAGCTCAGGGTAAGCAACCTCGTCTCTTTTATGACTCATGGACTTCAACTCCCAGAATTCCTGAGTCAGCCTAGCTGGGCTAGCTAGCTCTCTCCTGCCCTTCCTGCTTCCTGCTTCCTGCAGAGAAGCAGCAAAGGGAGGAGCTCCGTCCAGAAAGCTTTTCAGCTCCTCGGAGAACACTGTGAATGCAATCTTTTACACACACACACACAGAGAGAGAGAGAGAGAGAGAGAGAGAGAGAGAGAGAGGGAGAGAAGGAAGCAGGGAAGCGCAATTGCCTCTCTCTGTCTCTGTCTCTCTCTGCAAAGGCAGAGGAGGCTGGGAGCCACCGGGGAAGGCTCAAAGAGCCGCATTCGGCTCCGGAGCCGCAGGTTGCCGACCTGTGAACTAGACGTACCCAATTCCAGCAACCGTTCCTTATATGTTACTGGAGCTATTGTTACTGTATGTTGTATGCACAAAGATTTCTATTTTGTCTTTGAAAAATTGCTTCTATAGATACTTATATAAAATCTCCTTCAATTCCTGACTTGGTGACATGTACATAGTTTTTGGCAACAATACAGAAATGGTGTGCCTTTATCTTCTAAGAGATTCAGCAAATTTTTTCATAAAAATGGATTCCACAAGATTACTAATAAGTGATAGGATGTTCATTATCTGATAATTTGATATTTCAATGTACAATACATTATAGTCATATATTCAATATAGAAATAATACCTTTTTTGGGAATATATATATTTCTGAGGTTTTCGCGGGTGTTTGTATGTAGGTCTTTGGTTATTCGGGTTTTCTCCCGCGTAAAATTGGAAGTGTCTTGCCGACGTTTCGACGAAGTCCCATTCGTCATCTTCAGGCTGGTGTTTTCAGCTTCGTGCTCCTCGAAACACGAAGCTGAAAACACCAGCCTGAAGATGACGAATGGGACTTCAAAACGTCGCCAAGACACTTCCAATTTTATGCGGGAGAAAACCCGAATAACCAAAGACCTACCTACATACGTACATATATATATATATATATATATATATATATATATATATATATATATATATATATATATATATATAACCTACCTACATACGTACATATATATATATATAATTTCTCCTGCTTATGTTTTTGCCTTAATAACTGTACCTCCTCACATAACTTCATCCCTTGTTTATTCAGAATCTTTTGGATTTTGTTTATGGTTGCTACTAATCACATTCTCTACATATTCTTGTATAATTTCTGATTTCATGTTACCAAATAAAATAATTTATATTAAAGATGGTGGGGTTTGTTTCTTGTTTTGATTGCTATCAAATCAGTTTTGTCTTCTGGTGAATGCTTGGACAGTCCTGTATTTTTCTTTGCAAGATTTTGGGAAGTGGCTTGGCGTTGCTTTCTTCTTCCTAGGTCTAAGAGAGAGGGACTGGATGAAAGTTACCCAGCTGGCTTTGTGCCTAAAGCTGAACTAGAACTCCTGGTTTCTAGCATGATACTTTATCCGCTGCACCAAACTGCTCTCTATATTAAAATCAGTTATATTAAAACATTTTTCTAGTTTTTTAATCATCTACTAAAATATTTAGACAATTAAAAAATTAGACTTTTACATTTTCAAAACACTAAGATAAACACATTTCTCTTCAATGTACATGTATCTGTTTTTAGTAAACACGAGTACCCCGCTTCTTATTTAGATTTAAATAATTGCAGTGCAACCTCTTTCTATATCATTAAAAGGGTTTACAAGGATTTAAACCACACAACACTTTTGTAGTTAGAGAAGTACAACATGATTTAGCCCAAAACACATTTAGACTAATTTTATAACATATATATGTGCACACGGAAACACATATCAATAATCTCTCATTATCAAGACAACAGTACATTGGCACCTGGCAGGTGATACGCGACCATCCTAGAAAAGTGGTAGTGGGGGAGGGGAATGAGCTGAACTGGTGGCAGCACCGCATAAGCCTGAGCGAGAGATGGCTGGAGCTGCAGGGCTGTCAGGGCTCAGCGGAAGCGCCAGGATCAGCGCCAGGCTCCAGCTGGAGCTCGGCGCTGATCCTGGTGCTTCTGCTGAGCCCTGAAGAAGCACCAATCAGCTGGAATGTTGCAGCATCTCCAGGATCTTGTGATTTACATTCAGATGCTTAGCAACTGATTCATATTTATGACGGTCACAGTGTCCCAGGGTCATGTGAAGTGACCAAAACCTGCTGCAAACACCCCCCACCCCACCCCTACTGCCAATCCTCAACAGAAGTGCTCGCAACAATGAAAACCTCGGACAAGAGGAAGAGCGCCGCCAGGCGGGCAGGCAGGTGTCTTGCTCGGCTGTGGCTTGGGGGGCACTTTTTTCAGTGCCATTGTAACTTCGAACAGTCACTAAGCTAATTGTTGTAAGTCGAGGACTATCTGTACTTTATCACTTTTTTCTTTTCTTTTTTTTGGTCATCAAGTTTTTGACACCTTGCTAGGCGACTGGTGGTACTCGGATGTTGCCATATCCTAAAAGTGGTACAATGGGTGAAAAGGTTGAAAAGCCCTGTTCTAGTATACCAAGAGGGTGAGCTTCTCAGTCCTTTAGAAAACTCTAGCACAAAACAGGACATGAACAGCAATTATCAACTAATACCGAAAGTCCTTGGCTTACAACAGTTCATTTAGTGATCATTCAAAGATACAACAGCACTGGAAAAAAATTGACTTATGATTGTTTATTGCATCATCTCCATGGTCACCTGGGCAAAATTCAGATGCTTGGCAGTGGGTTCATATTTATGACAGTTGCAGTGTCTTTGCAACCTTCTGAGATGAAAACTCAATGGGGAAGCCAGATTCACTTAACAACTGTTGTAACTTAACAACTGCAGCGATTCACTTAACAACTTTTCAAGAAAGGTCATAAAATGGGGCAAAACTCACTTAACAAATGTCTCACTTAGCAACATAAATTTTGCGCTCAATTGTGGTGGTATGCTGAGGACTACCTGTATTTTGCAGTTGAATATTAATGCACATATATCAAATGTTAGGAATGCAGACCTTGATCTTCCATCTCTTTATAATTCAACCCTGTACATATATTAATCCAGTTTATTTTATGTTAAATGCACTTAGCCAATTTAGCTTATATGGAAGGGATTGCTAGGGCTGTAGCCTAATCTCAGTTAAAAAAAAAATGTCCTGGAAAAAGACAATAGAAAACCAATTTGGTATTATTACCAAGAAATTCATTTATATCCATGAAACCACTAGGAACTAAGCTTAATTAGAAATAATTGTACATTACACTAAGGTCTTATCACTTATTCAGCAATCGTATTTAGCTCCCTAATCCTGAACCCTGAAATACCTCTTTCAGTTGTGACACATTCTTTAAATGAACAGTCAAGTTTCAGTATTTATATTTAAATCATAATCCAACACTGTGCATGCATAAACTTTCTCATACGAAAGTAATAAGGTCATATGCAGCCGTGTTCCTTTCCCTTCTCCACCACAAAGTAAGAAGAAAGGATAAGCAAGAAATTAAATTTTGCTTTAACAGATTCCCAGTTTGTTATAAATGACTGGAAATGTTCAGACCTGTATAATTCCTGCTTTATATGTCACAATAAACCTAGAATTTCCTAATGTGAAAGAGAGTTCTAGCTTCTTTTTGTTCATAATGTGGCAGAAAGATACAGACAGACAGAATCTTTATGTGGACCATATTTTGGTAACAGTTCTTGGGAGGAATTTTCTACTACATTTGTCTCTTGGATAACACTCTTTTTCTAACCTTCTTATATGTTTACCTTACTCTAACTATGTTTACTTATTTTATTCATATTTTATTTGATAAGGGGTGCTTAATAGGACTTAGCTCCAGGATGAGCATATAAAATCACATGAAAAGTGTTATATGCCACATATAAGGATGAGTTAACCTGAATTACAGTTATTCTGAAAACGTAATATTGTTTTGAGCAAGATTATACAATAACTTTTCATTAAGAGTATGTGCCTGTTCTGAAACAGCATATATGTTTAAGAAGCAAAGAAACTTAGAAGTGAGTCTTAGACATTACAGAATATGCCAGTTACCTTTATGTAATATTAAAGATTTTAATCTGTACTTTTTTGTACTAATGTCCTTATCCCTCAAGATGGTTCTGGTTCTGTTAGGATAATGCAAGTTAGCATATTTAATAATTTGCACATTTACTCTTTACTCAAATTATAACCATTTATAAATACCATGTCTGGAATCATATCTTATATTAACCCACTCCTTTGGTAACATCTACCCTCAGATTTGCTCAACACTGTTATTCATTGACAATCGCAAACTTTGTCCCATTACTGTTAATACAGATTTATTCAATTTGGATATATTTATCCAAATTGTGAACCAATTCCAAGCTTCCCTTATTAAGCAAGGTCATAATAGAAAATTCTGGAGATTGAGGTCTGCGCATCTGAAAGGTGTCACAGCTACTGTTTTCAATTGCTGGTTTACATAACAATGAAATGCATAATAGTAATCAATCAAAATAGACCTAGAAGGGACCTTGGAGGTCTTTTAGTCCAACCCCCTGCTCAAGCAAGAGACCCTATACAATTTGAGACAACGAGCTGTCCAGGCTCTTTTTAAAAACCTCCAGTGATGAAGTACCCACAACTTCTGAAGGTAAGCTGTTCCACTGGTTAATTGTTCTCACGGTTAGGAAGTTTCTCCTTAATTCCAGGTTGCTTCTCTCCTTGATTAATTTTCATCCATTGTAGCTTGTCTTGCCTTCTGGTGCTTGGGAAAATAAGTTGACCCCCTCTTCTTTGTAGCAGCCCCTCAAATACTGGAATACTGCTGTCATGACACCCCTAGTTCTTTTTTTCTCTAGACTGGCCATGCCCAATTCTTCATATGTTTTAGTTTCCAGGCCTTTAATCATCCTAGTTGCTCTTCTCTGCACTTTCTCCAAAGTCTCAACATCGTTTTTGTAATGTGGTGAACAAAACTCTATTCCAGATGTGATCTTAACTAAGGTTTTATAAAATGGTAATAATACTTTACGTGATTTTGATTCTATGCCTGTTTATACAACTAAGGATTGCATTGGCTTCCTTGGCTGCTGCCCCACACTTCTGGCTCATATTTAAGTAATCATCCACTAGAATGCCGAGGTTCCTCTCACAATTACTGTTTTTGAGCCAGGTTATAGTTATATAGTTATAGTTATATATAGTTATATATATGTACGTATGTATGTATGTATGTATATATATGTGTGTGTGTATATGTACATGTACATGTATATGTATATATATACAGTGTGCATATACACTGTCTATTGTTATATTATATTACATTACATTACATGATATAATTATATTTATATCAAATATATCAAAAACACAAATATTACAGGATAAGCTTTGGAATGTGAGAGCACCACAGATTTGCATGATCAGCTTCAGAGACTTTATAAAGCCCTTCAAATGGGTTTCGAAAATGCAGTTCTATTGTCATCATCTTCATGCCTATATATAAACTTTTGAAAGACAATGGAAAAGGATTTGAATCTGCCTTAGTGCATTCCTGTTCTATTTCTGTCCTTCCTCTTTAGAGCATATATTAGAACCTTCATCTAATGTGGTGAACATTATTTTGTAAAGCAACTTTTATCCACAGGGTATTACTAAAGAAAAGATATGGGAGTTCTTTCCACCTAATTTTGGTAAAATACATAGTATAGTTATAATAGATGCATAAAGCCTCAAAGAAATGTCAGTAGAGCAATTCAGTCCAATATGCTATTTGATTTATACGAAAGACTCTTCTTGAGGATATGAAATAGCTGTTTTACATGAATAGATCTTTATAAAAATGGATCATTTTGTAACGTTTTCAGGGCCGTTGTGCAAGGGAGAACTGCAAATACCTTCATCCACCAACACATTTGAAAACTCAGCTAGAAATTAATGGTAGAAACAACCTGATCCAACAGAAAACTGCAGCAGCAATGCTTGCACAGCAGATGCAGTTTATATTCCCGGGAGCACCTTTTCAGCCAATGGTTAGTACTTTTAATGAAATGTCAGCCCAATGCTTTATTTTCACAGCTCACATCTGACTAACATTACAAATAAATGAATTTATTGTAATTTTAATATATAGATTACAATATGCTATCGTCAAATATTGTCAAGTAAAATGTATAAATCATTGTTATGAACTTTTTCTGTTTGTAATGTTATTGCAACTGTTGAACTTTATGCATTTTGGGAGCAAGCTAGTTTATTCTGGACAAACTACAAAGAAAAACATAGTGAGATTCAACTAAGCTGAATAATTTATATATATTTATAAACATATAGTATTTGCATAATTTATTTATGGGGATTGGTGAATATTTAATTATGAAAATATAGCCTGTGATGTGAAAATCCTAAACTGACCCAGAAACTTTTTGATATATAGAAATCATTAAAAGTAAAATTAGTAAGAAATTTGGGGTAGTGATTAAGGTATTAAGTGAGAAACCAGGAGTTTTAATCTGGCTTTAGGCATGAAGTCAGTTGGATGACATTGCCAAGAAAACTGGCAACTTTCCAGGCAATCGCCAGAAGTCCATAGTGACTTGAAGGTGCACGTGAGCACATGCTGGTACACAAGCACACACATACACACTCTTTATTTGTGTACTGCTTGGATCAGAAATTTAATGTTTTCAAATGCTGTTTCTCCTTTAAGAAAGAGTTAAAACTAGACTTGTGGGAAAGTAGCACAGTTTTCATTTAATCAGTAATTCATATATTTTAAAATTTATCTCACATCAAATATTTTGGTGTACCACTGGGAGCTGTACTGTCGAGCAGCGGCATTGACGTGGATTAGGGATTGGATTACTCTGGAAAACAAAAGATGTTTATACCTAGAGGGGCATGACCTCCAGCAGGATTGGCATGCTCATTTATGGACAGGGAAAAGTAGGAACCATCAATATTTCTTGAGGCACAAAGTTCAGCAAGAACTCATAAAAAGTTGGAACATAGTTAAAAGCCAACACTATATTTATTTATTTATTTATTTATTTATTTATTTATTTATTTATTTATTTATGAGATTTATATACCACTTTAAGTGCAAGCACTCTCTAAGCGGTGTACACCAGTAAGCAATGTATATATATATTTACATTGCCCCCAACAATCTGGGTCCTCATTTTACCTACCCCGGAAGGATGGAAGGCTGAGTCAACCTTGAGCCGGTGAGATTTGAACTGCTGACCTGCTGAACACAGTCAACTAAAGTGGCCTGCAGTACTGCACTCTAACTGCTGCGCCAGCTCGGCTCCTATATAGGAGTTCCAGGTTGGTTCTCACCATTAGAAGCAGTTACATACCCCTATGTATACAGGCAAGATAAGGTCATTACATATAAAGATATTCTGTCAGAGGAAGGCCATCTAAAGCAAAGACAAGAGTTGAGAAAACGGGGAATAGTTTTGGAATGGTGGTCTTATCTTCAGATGCAAGCGAGATATGTGAAAGACAAGAAAGAGTGGGGAATTTATAGATGAGATACGGGGCTTGATAAAATAATACTAGGCTCGGAGAGAAAGCAAATTAAAAATATATATAAATACATGTTAGAATATGAGGAACAAGTCAAAGAAACGATGGTTACCTGGGCAATAGATTTGGAACACGCTATAAATCTGGACCAATGGCAGCAAACTTGGGAACGTAACAATAAAATTACATTGGCATCATCTTATAAAGAAAATCTTTATAAGATGCTTTATAGATGGCATCTGTCACCGGCCAGACTCACAAAAATGTATAGTGGTTACTCACCAATTTGTTGGAAATGTAAAAAGGAAAAGGGTACATTCTTTCACGTTTGGTGGGTTTGTAAAGAAGCACAGGTTTATTGGCTTAGGGTTTAAAGATGGAAATGATGGGTCAAAAAATTCAATATAAACCAGAGATGTTTTTATTAGGAATATTAGAAAAAATATAAACAAAGATGATATATATTTAATTATACATGTGATAACGGTGGCAAGGATCTTGTTTGTCCAAAACTGGAAAGCAATTGAAGTGCCTAGCAGAAATGCGCTAATAGAAAAAATCTTACATTGCACTGAACTGGATAAGAGGCCTAAGGAATTAAAAAACCAGGAGGAAACAGAATATTACCGAATTTGGAATAAATTTTACAAGTGGAGGGAAACAAGAAGGAAGTCGATAGAAGGGATATAAATAGGGGACTTGATATGTATAGCTGTATATGTAATATTTATTCTTATATGTAAAGTATGGAATGATTAGACAAAGATGTATGTCAAAGATGATACACCACGTTCAATGTTTTTAATCTTTTTTTTCTTTCCTTTGTATTCAATAAAATATTTTAAAAAAATATTTTGGTGTTGAATAACATCAGAAAGGTCCTTAATGTATACTTTTTCATCCTTGTTAGAAGAATAACATGTAGCATAATCATGGATAATAAATTGTAGTTTTGATTTATTTCCAACAGTTCATACGAAGGTATGTCCTCAATTGTCTTGTTTGCATCAGCAAGATATGCTTCTTTATCACTAAATTAATTTTGTTCCAGTAAACTTATCTGGCCATTCCTTGGTTGGTTAAGCATCCTTTCTATATTTTTAGTTTATATATGTGCAGTGTACATCAATTCCCTCAAAGATAAACACGGCTCCAAAGCTTTCATGCTGAGTCAGTTATGCAGTATGAACTTTACCTTTTTCTGTATAATGCCTATTTCAGAATCCTTTGGAACTAGTTCATCAAAATTAAAACATGATACTCAGTTTAATTTGTTAAGAACACCACAAATATCTAGACACTGAGCTGATACATTCTACTAAGTCAAAATATGGGTTATTTCGGTTTAGTAAGTATGTGGACCCAGCTAACATAAATCAGTGAACTTTGATATTGAATTTATTACAGAGCATGAGTGTCTATTTTTCATTTCTATATGTTTATTTATTATTCCTTTTTATTCTCTTTCAGCCATCATTTCCAGTAGGACCAACAATAGGATCTAATCCAGCACTAAACTTTGCATCATATTTAACTCCAGTTACTTCTGGGGTTGGATTAGTTCCTACGGAAATTGTTCCCACACAATCTGTAATTGTTCCTGGAAATCCCGTCTCTGTCTCTGGATCAGCTCCACCACAGAAACTCCTCAGGACAGATAAACTGGAGGTATGGAGAGCAACATTCTTCTGATACATGCAGTATTTGGAATTTGTTTATATAAGACAGTGAATAAACACAATGCCTATATTTAAATATAAAGAAAAGGCAATTTCATTTCAGTTGGCTACTTAGCATAAGCAATGCCAATCCTCTGTTCTGATCTTTGATATGATAATTGCGCTGAAATGAAGTAGTAAGTGCACAGTTCATTATTATGGCTATGCAAGGCTTTTTTTTTTGTAAAAAATTTTTTATTTTCAATTTTTCATTACATTCATAAAGAGTACTTCAGATAAAGAATAGAATAAGTTTATGCACACAACTTTCGGTATTGCTCACCCATTTCCCCCCAAACCACATCCACCCTCTAACCTCTTCTCTCACTTCCCTCTTTCCCTCTTCTTCTTCCTCACTCTCCCCCTCTCCTCCTTCACCTCAACCTTCTTACTTACTTCTCCCCTTCCTCCTATCTTCTCGCTCCGGATGCAGTCCAGGGGAAATGCCGGAGCAATTCCTCTCTCCAAACTGAAACATCAATATTATATACAATAAAACTATTTCTACTTATCTGACCTATTTAACCTCCAACCCATCCTTCCCCCACCCCCCTCCCCCCGACTTCCCAGAGCCAAGTACAGGGTTATACAAACATATTAAACATAATCTACTTAAGTTTACTAATTATACAATAACCAAAATCATACTAACCCTTAACCCTCTTCAAACTTTAACATAATTTTATAAACAAATCCATTACTCATAAAATAAATGAAACTTTGTAGTTCCATATTTCTTCTGAACATATTCTATCCATCTTCTCCATACAATAACATATCTCTCTTGTGAATGATCCTTTAAATAAGCAGAAATTTTGGCCATTTCTGCTAAATTAGAAACCTTAAATACCCATTCTTCTAAAGAAGGCAGCTTGGAGGTCTCATAACTAGTTAGCATGCCAGAGTCTCATTCATTATCGGAATTAACCAGACAAATTGCTCCACCAACTAAGAATGGCCATGCACCACCACCCACAGTATCGAGAAAGAGCTATCGATCTGTCAATCCTTTCCATGTCCGGGCTGGGTGAAGTTTCCCGTGTTGCAAGGCTTTGTTTTGATACATTTCACATAGCACTAGAACAGTGGTTCTCAACCTTTTTAATGCCGCGACCCCCCAACCGGTTGTAAGTCGAGGACTACTCAACCGGTCGTAAGTCGAGGACTAAACTGGTGCAGCACCGTTTGCAGAATGGGACTTTTGGCGGGCTCAGCAGAGCAGAGACAGCCTGGACAATTCCTATTGGCTTTTGAAAGCCAATAAAATTAGACTCTATTCAAGAGAGTCTATTCTATTGGCTTTCAAAAGCCAGTAGAATAAAAGGGAGTAGCACAGCTAAGGAAAAGGGGGAAAAAATCGTGGACTGCGTTTGGCAACGTGAAAAGGTCGTTCGACCCCAAATGGGGTCCCGACCCACAGGTTGAGAACCACTGCACTAGAAGGTAAGGTAAGAAGATCCTCCACCTCATGAAGCATCAACACAAGCCTTGTCTATCTTGACTTGCTTTAGTTTAAGGTGAGTGACTTCTGTACATATACAGAAGAACTCTGAAAGGTTAGAAATTCAGTTAAAGTGGTCCCCTGAATCACCTTTGGAACAAATCCTCTCCTCAAATTTTGCCTGGCCTAGTAATTATATTGCTTGTGCAGCAATTGTAATCTAGTATGTAATAGATAGTTAACATTAATTTAGAAATAGAGAAAATAAACTAAGGGAAAAACATTAAGTTCAGTTAATTGTAGTCCATTACTACCTTTGTGTGCTCCATTCTCAGAGAAGTAATCTTCACATATGGAAAATCTGAGCTTGTTTCTTAAATTCTCTCAGTCAGAAGTTAAGATATAGAACTGGATATTATCAATATACTAATGATACCTAACTCCATGGCATCAGAATGACTTCATCCACCAGTTTCATATAGATAGAAGTGGGGAGAGGGTGGAACCCCACAAAGCAGAGGTTTAGGGCTAAACTTGTCTCCCCTGTCAATTTGAATGGAACGTATCTGTTAGGAAGGAGAAGCACCATAACACCACATTCTCCTTTCTAACCCCTGAGTTAGTCCAGAAGGATGTCACAATTGATAATATTAAAAGTCACTGAGAGATCAAGGACCCCGATGAATTCAAGATCCATGCAAAATTTATACAATAGCAAAGCCCATGTTATAGCCTGAGATGACAGGTCGTACAATTTTCAGAGATTATTTGGGCACAGCTCAAAAATTGCATTTTAAATTCTTTCTTGTACTCAAGTGAGTAATTACCCTCATATGCATAATATTGTTTTGTGCCCCAGGTTTGCAGGGAATTCCAGCGAGGAAACTGTGCACGGGGTGAAACCGATTGCCGCTTTGCACATCCTTCTGACAGCACAATGATTGATACAAATGACAACACTGTAACTGTTTGTATGGATTACATAAAAGGGCGTTGCCTGAGGGAAAAATGCAAATATTTTCATCCTCCTGCTCACTTGCAGGCCAAAATCAAAGCTGCTCAACACCAGACAAACCAAGTGGCAGTGGCAGCCCAGGCAGCTGCTGCAGCTGCTACAGTCATGGTAAGTGCAAGGGGAACAGGGCTCTTTTAAAAGTCAACTTTAAGTCCTTAAGCTGGCCACTTTTAAGATGGATTTTTGTTATAGGTTAGCAGCCCAGCAAATCTGTTTCACTCAATAATTTCAGCACAAGGGGTATCTTCCTGGAATGTGGCAAAGCTCAAGATCTTAACTGCCCTTGTTTCTTCTGCATTTTCCTTCGTATTTAGTACAGGCTCTTATTTCTAAAGATTAACTTGCTTTTCACTTGAAGGTTTGAAGTTTGGATAAACTGGCCTGCTAACTACATATACCTTCATATTCACATGGTGGTTTAGAAAATATCCGATGCAGTTATCTAGCTAGGTCTTTCTTTATTACATTTGCATGGTGGCTTATACGGTGACTGTACTAATTAAAATATTAGGAAGAAAGGAATTCATTCATATGCAAGCTTGTCCACAAGTCATAAAAGAGCCAAGGTTGCCTACCCCTGCCATAGGGCAAGTAATAAAACAAATGTAGTTAGTTTCAGTGTTCACTGTTCAAATATGTGAACAACCAGTTCTCTGTGTGGATGCCTCTTCCGGAAGTTCATTCTGGGCCTGGGCAACAAAAAATTAGCTACCAATTCTGCCGAAGTGGTGCGAACCGGCTGAATCCCACCACTGGTTACTTTATATAGTACAGTAGATGTTGACTGTAGATTGTACATCCAGCCACCATATAAAATATTGTTATAAACACAGCTAATGTGACTTCTTGCAAGCCTTCACAATGCGCTTAAATCTACCAGAATCTTAGAACATAGAATAACAGGGTTGGAAGGACCTTGAAAGTCTTCTAGTCCAATCCCCTGCTCAAGCAGGAGGCCCTATGCCATTCCAGACAAATGGCTGTCTGATGTGTCCATAATCAATTTGACATTTATCAGAACTCCAACATCTGCCTCTGTTTAAATAGAAGTCTAGATAGATTGATATTATCAAACATAATTTGGTATAACATAACAAGGTAGACATAATCAAGCATAAATAGAAATCTATAAACTTATATAATTTTGCATGCATTTGTTTAAAAAGGAGAATTCAATGTTTTCCATATAGGAATTGATGGGTGTGAGCTTAAAAACACTTTGCTACAGTTACAAACCATATTTGTGTTTTTGTGTGAGGACTCCGTTCATCACCATCTAAAGTTGGAGAAGTTCTCTTTGCTTGATACCTCGCTGAAATCACTTTAGTCATGTCACTGGGTAATTAAATTTTAGAATTTGCTGCCATAAAATGCAGTTATGTGGGGCAATTTGGAAGAAAAAGTGTTTAAAGTTCTAAGGATAAAATGAGAGCTACTAGGTATTATGACTCTAGAGTACTCAATGGCAGTGAGCCTCTAGCGACTAGTTGCTAGGGAACAGCTACCAGGAGGTTTTTATGCTCTCCTGACCTCTTTGTGGGTTCCCCATAGACATTTGATTGGTCACTGTGGGAACAGAGTATTGAACTAGATGATCCTTGATCTGATCCAACACAGCTCTTTTTATGGTGTGTTGTTGTTGCATAGCTAGCTTAGAGTTTGGCTGAAGACAAAACCATTTGTGCCAATACTGAAAATACATTTATAATATATCAATAGTAGACATTTGTAAGCAAACAAATCCAAATTAGTAGACGTTTGAATTACTGAGGAGTGGGTTCTGAGAAAATGGTGCATTTTAGCATTACGGATTTCCTTGTTGGAAGAGAACAGAAGTTAATTAGAACGCTCCATTATCTTTAGAGAATTCAGAACACGAGAATTTATTCAGCATCCAAGTACAAATAATACACTGCTGCAGGCATGTTGCAAAATAATGGCATGTTGCAAAAAGATAACTATGGTTTGAATTTCCATTATCCTCATTAGACAAATATCTCATTCAGCCAACTCAGAGTCAAAAGCTTTGTGCAAAGGTTTTCAGTTCTCAAGACTTTTTTCATTTGTGCTGGGGTTGGAAGAGAGCAAAATTCAAGCAGATTTATGGTTATTTTGTAATTTTTGTACAGAGCTATATGATGTATGGAATGTAACAAGTTTTTTTCACTGATCCCTCAAATAATTGAATAAATTCTGATTTAATATTAAGAGAAAAAAACTCTTGCTGAGACATATACTATATGCACAGGAATAGTAAGATTAAGAGAAAGTAATGCTTTACTAAGACATAAATAATACTATAAGGGAATTAGGCTATTTCTTTATATGGTGTCTGCCATAAAAATTGTATATGCTAAGCATTGGAAAGAAAAAGAGATGCCAACTATTGAATAGATTTTGAAATTGACTGAATTAGCAGAGATGGCAAAACTAACTGCCTTGATTAGAGACAATGGATTAGACAATTTTATAAGAGACTGGAACCCATCTATGTGTTAAATTCAAGAACAGATGGTTTACAGATAGATTTGAAGATTAGAATAATGTTTGGGCTAACCCAGTGATGGTGAACCTTTTAGAGACCAAGTGCCCAAACTGCAACCCAAAACCACTTATGTATCGTTGGGTGCCAGGTGAGCGTGGCCCATTGGCTGGGTGTGGGCCATTGGGCGGGTGTGGTTGCGGTGGTAACGGCAGACTAGGTGGGACTAAAAAGTTCAATCAATCAATTCCAACTTTGCAAGATTTTTTTTCCTGCAAGAAGTTGAAATTGACTGATTGATTGAACCTTTTTTTTTTGCACATGGCGGCGGAGGCCTAAAGGGAAAAGGTTTTATAAAACCCAGCTGAAAGCCTAAGACTGGGGCGACGATGCACGTGCCCACAGAGAGGGCTCTGAGTGCTGCCTCTGGCACCCATGCCATAGGTTCGCCACTACTAGGCTAACCTGTTGACTCTTTTTTCCCTCTTTTACATATATATTATGATTATTGGGTTGATTTGTTTATTAGACAGATAGATTTCCACATCTGGAATATTTATTTGTTTATATAGCATTTTTGATAAATACTATTTGTAGACTTGTTCTGAAAGGGGAAGAGAACTTATTAGTTTTTGTATTTATTTTTCAGCATCCACTGAGGTGGATTCTTTATGAAGGAAGGCAAACATATGTGTCCCAGGATAATGCTATAAAATCCAGTCTAGGTCAGTCATCAGGATCAGAGGTTTAGTCTTCCTAGCTTTCAGACTCAGGCTGGAGCCCATCCTCAGGGAACTTCTCTCTAAAGTCTAGAATATGTGCTCTGGGCTAGTCTATGCTTTGTATTTATGTGTCTATTGGTTGATTGGTGTGTTGCTGGCCAGCAATTGGCTGTTGTTTCTTTGTGCTTCCAAGTCCTCGGCTCCTTAATACCTGATAAGTTGGTGGTAAATCGGCACTCCTATTGACTGACAAGGGGCCCATTTCCCAGGATTCAATCATTTTCCTGGCTGTCTTTGTACCTGCATGGCCAACAATCTTAGTAGCTGTGAAATTGAACGTATGTCCTTGTTTATTGCAATGTTTATTGCAATGTGAACAATGAGTTTGGGTCTCCTCATCTGACTGTTCGCTTGTGTTCTTGCAATCTGATGGTTAGCTTCCTCTCCATCTGTCCTACATAGTCACAGGGATAGTCCATGCAGGGGATCCAGTAGATTACATTAGAAGTATCTTCCACCTCCAAGTGATCTTTGCAATGCACGATTTGTCCTCGTATGGTAGCCTCTGGGCAATGTGCGATGCCTACTTGCAGATCTCGGAAGTTGCGTTCTACTGCTTCCAAAATGATTTTGATGTATGGCAAAGTGTGCCATATAGTTGGTCTTGTACCTTCTTTCTTCATTTCTCTTTCTTGCGTGTTGCACAGACAACTTGTAATAAATGCTTATGGGTACCCATTCTTCCTGAATTGTTCATGTAGGTACCTTCTCTCCAGTTGTTTAGTTTAGATACTACAGTGGGTTCTCATCCTGCCATGTAGTGTTCTGACGCAACTCTTTTTGTATGATAGTGGACGGATATTTTTGAAACTAAGACTGCATGGAGTGTTGGTGGTCTTGCGATAAACCATGGTTTCTAGGTTTCCATCTAAAAATGGTAATTGTCTAGCTGTTTCTTCCTCCATTGTGAACTGTATGTCTGGGAAGATGGAGTTCAGTAAGTTATGAAAGTCTTTTAGTGCATTTCTTTTGATAATGAGCAGCATGTTATTCACGTATCGGCACCATAATTTAGGTGTGTAGTTTTGAAATGCACAGTTTCTGCAATGACTCTTGATATTGGGGATCCCATAGGTGTCCCTTTTATTTGCTCATATATTTCCCTTTTGAATGTGAAGAAGGTATGTTGGCAGTACTGGAGCAGTTTCATGATTTGTGTCCTGGCTAGGTTGCTCTGATCTGTGTGGTACTCTTCTAGTTTTTTTTAATCTATTACTTCATATACTAAGTGAAGAGGGATGGATGTAAATAGGGATGCTATGTCATCAGGAGCCACATTTAAGCGTTGTAGTTTTTGTCAAAAATTGTGTGGATGATGTGACTGCTGTTCGACTGTGCTCCCTCTCATGTATGAAGGCAAATATATGTGTCCCAGGGTAATGTTGCTTAGTATCACATAATCCTGTAGAGCAGGCATGTCAAACTCGCGACGTCACGTGACGTTGCGCGTGGTATCAGAGCTTTTTCTCCATTGCTGGCAAGGGGGTAGGCACAGTTTTGGGATGACGCATCCGGCCCATGGGTCGGCAGTTTGACACCCCTGCTGTAGAGAGAGGTTCTCTAAGGATGGGCTCCAGCACAAGTCCAAAAGCTTGGAAGACTAAATCTTTGGTCCATTGGTGACTGACCCTGATTGGATCTTGGATTCTTTATGCTTAATGTTAGATCTGTTTGTCATTTGGGATTTTATTCTTTTTCTTTTCTTTTATACACAAGATTTTTTTCCCCTTTTTGTTGTTAGTTGTTAGCAAGCAAAGTTATAATCAGAAGCCAATTTGGGTTTGTCAAAAACAGATCATGCCAAACAAATCTTATTTCATTCTTTGTCAAAGTGACTAAATTAGTGGACCAGCAAAATGTTATGGACATACTATACTTGGATTTCAGTAAGGCATTTGACAAAGTAAGTTAGAAAAATATGGGATAGATAGCATTACCACCACATGTATTTGTCACCGGCTGACAAACCACACTCAATGTGTAGTCCTAATGAAACTACATCTACATGGAGGAAGGTAAGCAGTGAGGTACCCCAGGGTTCTGTTTTAGGCGCAGTACTCTTCAATATCTTCATAAATGATTTAGATCAGGGCTTTTCAACCAGTGGTACGGGTACCACCTATAGTACATTGGCACCTGGCTGGTGGTACACAACTATCCTAGAAAAGTAGTGGGGGAGGGGAATGAGCTGAACCGGTGGCAGCACTGTACAAGCCTGAACGAGAGATGGCTGGAGCTGCAGGGCTGTCAGGGCTCAGTGGAAGCGCCAGGATCAGCGCCAGGCTCCAGCTGGAGCTCAGTGCTGATCCTGGAGCTTCTGCTGAGCCTGAAGAAGCACCAATCAGCTGGAAAGCAGCACTGATCCTGACGCTTCTGCTGAGTCCAGAAGAAGCGCCGATCAGCTGGAATGTTGCAGCATCTTCAGGGTCTTGTGATTTACATTCAGATGCTTGGCAACTAATTCATATTTATGATGGTCACAGTGTCCCAGGGTCATGTGAAGTGACCAAAACCTGCTGCAACCACCCAGCAGATGGGGGAATAAAAACCAAACACCCCCACCCCACCCCCACTGCCAATCCTCAACAGAAATGCTCACAACAATGAAAACCTCGGACAGGAGAAAGAGCGCCGCTGGGTGGGCAGGCAGGTGTCTTGCTCAGCTGTGGCTTGGGGGGCACTTTTTTCAGTGCCATTGTAACTTCGAACAGTCACTAAGCGAACTGTTGTAAGTTGAGGACTACCTGTACTTTATCAAGTTTTTTCCTTTTTTTTTTTTGGTCATCAAGTTTTTGACACCTTGCTAGACAACTGGTGGTACTCGGATGTTGCCATATCCTAAAAGTGGTACAGTGGGTGAAAAGGTTGAAAAGCCCTGATTTAGATGATGGAATATAGGGGAACTGATCAAATTTGCAGACGAAACCATACTTACAGGAATAGCCAACAATCCAGAAGATAGGCTCAAGAGCCAGATGGATCTTGATAGACTTGAGCATTGGGCCTGAAATGTTATGAAATTCAGTGTAGAGAAAAGTAATGTTTTATACGTAGGCAAGAAAAACCAAATGTACTTCTATAGATTAGGTGAAACCTAGCTCAGAAACAGTAACTGTGACAGAGATCTTGGAGTCCTAGTGCAGGACTTTTCAACCTTTTCACCCAATGTACCACTTTTAGGATATGGCAATATCCGAGTACCACCAGTCGCCTACCAAGATGTCAAAAACTTGATGACCAAAAAAAAAAAAGGAAAAAAGTGATAAAGTACAGGTAGTCCTCAACTTACAACAGTTCGCTTAGTGATTGTTTGAAGTTACAATGGCACTGAAAAAAGTGCCCCCCAAGCCACAGCCGAGCAAGACAGCGCCCAACGGTGCTCTTTCTCCTGTCCGAGGTTTTCATTGTTGTGAGCATTTCTCTTGAGGATTGGCAGTGGGGGTGAGGTGAGGGGGTTGTTTTTTATTCCCCCCATCTGCTGGGTGGTTGCAGCAGGTTTTGGTCACTTCACATGACCCTGGGACACTGTGACTGTCATAAATATGAATCAGTTGCCAAGCATCTGAATGTAAATCACCAAACCCTGGAGAGGCTGCAACATTCCAGCTGATCGGCGCTTCTTCTGGGCTCAGCAACAGCGCCAGGATCAGTGCTGCTTTCCAGCTGATTGGTGCTTTTTCAGGGCTCAGCAGAAGCACCAGGATCAGCGCCGAGCTCCAGCTGGAGCCTGGCGCTGATCCTGGCACTTCCGCTGAGCCCTGACAGCCCTGCAGCTCCAGCCATCTCTCGCTCAGGCTTGTGCGGTGCTGCCACCGGTTCAGCTCATTCCCCTCCCCCGCTACCACTTTTCTAGGATGGTCACATACCACCTGCCAGGTGCCAATGTACCACAGGTGGTACCCGTACCACTGGTTGAAAAGCCCTGTCCTAGTGGACAATCACTTAAATATGAGCCAGCAATATGTTGTAGCTGCCAAAAAAGCCAATGCAATCCTAGGCTGAATTAACAGAGTGATAGAACCAAGATCACATGAATAATGCCTCAGTAAGTCCACTCTTGGCATACAGCGTCCAGTTTTGGTCACCACAATATAAAAAGGATGTTGAGACTAGAAAGGGGGCAGAGAAGAGCAATAAAGATGATTAGGGGCTGGAAGCTAAAACATGTAGAACAGTTGCAGGAATTGGATATATCTAGTCTAGTGAAAAGAAGGACTGGGGTGACATGAGAGCAGTGTTTCAGTATTTGAGGGACTGTTACAAAGAAAAGAGGGGTCAACCTATTTTCCAAAGCACCAGAAGGCAAGGCAAGAAACAATGGAGGGAAACTAATCACTGGAGGATTTTAAGAAGAGGCTGGACAGCCATTTGCCTGAAACGGTAAAGGGCAGGGATAGGCAACCTTAGCTCTTGCCTACCCCTGGTATAGGGTCTCCTGGTTGAGCAGGAGTTTGGAACAGAAGACTTCCCAAGGTCTCTTCCAACTCTGTTATTCTGTTAAAATCCCCCCAAAAAATGTTAAACAAAAAATGGTACATTTTTTTTCCTGCTTGACATGATAAGCTGTGGTTCCTAATATAGTTAAAACTTGAGAACATTTTAAAATATGTTGAATGGGATAAATTGATGATCAGAAGTAACATTTACTAAAGATGTAGGTAAAAACCAGATTTTTCTCAGTTTTATATATATATATATATATATATATATATATATATATATATATATATATATATATATATATGTTTTCTGAGGTTTTCGCGGGTGTTTGTATGTAGGTCTTTGGTTGTTCGGGTTTTCTCCCGCGTAAAATTGGAAGTGTCTTGGCGACGTTTCGACGAAGTCCCATTCGTCATCTTCAGGCTGGTGTTTTCAGCTTCGTGCTTCGAGCAGCAATGTGTGGTCTTAGCTGTTTCTTCCTTTTAACTGCCAGTGGGGGTATGAACTGATTGGGTGGGAGCTTGGCTGTGTTCTGATTGGGTGGAGGTGTGTTCTGATTGGTTAGGGGCGTGGCTGTGCTCTGATTGGCTGGGGGGTTGGCTGTGCTCTGATTGGCTGGGGGAGTGTTCTGTTTGGTTGTGCTCAGGTTAGTCTGAGTTGCAGAGGGGTTTAAGATTTTGGGCTGCCTTGCTATTTTTTGGCTTCGCGTTCGTGGTCGTGCCTCCTCTTCATGGAGGGTGTCAGTTTGCTTCATGTTGGATTGGAGGGGTTTAAAGTGGCTAATGATGCAGCTGTGGTCTGGCTTCTGGTTTGTGGTCGTGCCTCATCATCGGTGTGGCTTTGGGTTTGTTTTTGCGTGGATGTGTGGTGGTGACATCCTGTGTGGTTTTTGTGAGTGTGGGTCTGGTATCATTTTTTGTGTTAGGGAATCGTTTGTCAATAAGGGCGGGTTTCCAAATGGCTGGTAGGCGGGAGGTATCATCTCGCTTGTTCATGCTGTGTGGGCGTTTTTCTATCTCGATGGATCTCTGATTATTCTGTTATTAAAATGTTCACTTTTGGCAATGGTTCTGGTCTTTTTAAAGTCAATTTCATGTCCTGTGGCTTTAAGGTGTTGGACCAGGGAAGAAGTTGGTTCCTCTTTTTTGACTGAGTTCTTATGTTCTTCAGTGCGTGCACTTATTCTTCTGTTGGTTTGTCCGATGTATGTGGTGGGACAAGCACACTCAAAGCACGAAGCTGAAAACACCAGCCTGAAGATGACGAATGGGACTTCGTCGAAACGTCGCCAAGACACTTCCAATTTTACACGGGAGAAAACCCGAACAACCAAAGACCTACATATATATATCTCTCTCCTGGTAGCTAACAAAGTGGGAGAGAACCCGTGGCTTAGAGGTTATAACATCTGCCTAACATGCAGATAGCCCAGGTTCGAATCTCAGAAGAGTAAGTTTGGCTGATGAGGGTTAAAGGAACCCGAAATAGCTATACCATTCTCTCTTTATTCTTTGTTAGCAAAACCTAAAAACCTATATATATATATATATATATATATATATATATATATATATATATATATATATATATATATATATAGGTTTTTAGGTTCATTTCATTAAAAAAATATTGTTTTCCAGTGATTTCAATTTTGATTGTTAATTTTTGGAATTTAATTTATGCTTTCTAATATGGCATAACTAACTTATCAGTACTAGTTTAGGAAAATCATTGCAATAACTGCTTTTCTACATAGTATAAAAGCTTACTGATGCTTATTTGTCTGCAAGCTGCTATTTTTATTCAACTTTCCTAAATTCCAAACATCTGTTATATTCTTATATTTTTTAACTAAATTATGATAAATGCATTTTTTTGCTTCAGTACTAATCCAAGATGTAATGTTCATTTCTTTAGATGATAAAGTATTTCTGTTGTTGTGCATGTCTAGTGTTTTGTACGTCGTATATTGCATTCAGAATATTTTTTTCCTTCTCAACTATCCACAATGCAATGCCGTTCCCATGATGCACCTCTGCTTGCTGTTTACCTGTATGTTAATTCGCTTGAATCCCATTGGCCACTGCCATCATGTGCTCGCTGCCTGTCCTTAAAAAGACTCAGTCGACTGCCAAAGCAATGAAGCGACCTCTTGAAGCAGCCGTAGACCTGGTACTTTGACTTTCACCTTTTGCTTTGCATGTAGCTTTTCCAAAATGCAAATTAATTTAATGTTATCCAAATTGTATTCTCAATTATAAGGCATAATTTCAATATTTAAGTAATCTCATTTTCACATGTTATTATGACAGAATAATCTAAGATCTTTTCTACCAAATTTCATCTTCAATTGACATTTTAAAAATTGAAGTGAAGGAAAAATGTGCTTTTATCATTGACACTGTTTATTCTATAATAAATAACGTGCATTTTATAAATATAGACAAATACAAATAACACTTCAGTCATATTTTAACCTTATTTAAAAAAATAGTTAATGTTTTCTTTAGGTTCCCCTTTTCAGTTTAATTATTAAGATTCTATCATTTTATTTTAATTGTGCCATGCATTAATTATCGGTAATAATACAATCTATTTTACACTGCTGCCTTTCGAGCCTGGCAAGGCTTTTTCAACTGTTAAAAAAGCTATAATAATTACACAGTCTTCATTTAAGATATAAATCTATGTGTATAGATATATATGGAGATATATATATATATATATATATACGTGTGTGTGTGTGTGTGTGTGTGTGTGTGTGTTTGTATTTGTGTGTGTGTATGTGTGTATTTAATTCACAGGCCTTTCCACCTGCTGTCCTTCATCATTTACCAAAGAGACAAGCACTTGAGAAAAGCAATGGTGCCAGTGCTGTTTTTAATCCCAGTTTCTTGCACTACCAACAGGCTCTTGCTAGTGCACAGTTGCAGCAACATGCATCATTTATTCCCACAGGTACGTTCTTTTTGAAGTAAAGAAATATTTTGATTCCTTTGTTTTTTGGGGAAAAAAAAGCTCCATGTGATCCCATTCCTTGTGCTTTCATCTAAATAATTGTGTCCTTTTGCCTCCTCTTTTAGGAGGACATTGACAGTACTTTTTTTCCTTTTCACTTTTAGTATTTCTGAAGGATATGATAGAATGTTTAGAAGTGTGTAAAGAGGATCAAAAAGTTTTCAGTCTGAACCATTTGCTCTTTTTTATATGTTTCAACAGTCTTTTGGAAAGGGGCATGTTCTTGTCTCAGTTCTTTGGCATCTTTGAAGAACGATATATGTTCTATGTAGATATTTTCTATGTAGAAAATATTTTTCTTAATATGCCTATATAGATATTTTAAGGACTCAGAAGGACAAAGCAAATATATTAAGATTTACTGGGAATGCATTGTTTTTATAGTTGCTACTAAATCCTGCCTTTATTTTGTGCAACCCAAGGCAGAGTCCAGGTAGTCCTTGACTTACAACCACAATTGAGCCCAAATTTTCTATTGTCAAGTGAGACATTTGTTAAGTGAGTTTTGCCCCATTTTATGACATTTCTTACCACAATTGTTAAGTGAATCACTGTGGTTGTTAAATTAGTAACCCGGTTGTTAAGTGAATCTGGTTTCCCCACTGACTTTGCTTGTCAGAAGATCACAAATAGTGATCACATGATCTCGGATACAGCAACCGTCATAAATATGTATCAGTTGCCAAGCATCTCAGTTTTGATCCTATGACCATGGGGATGCTGCAAAGATTGTAATTTTGAAAAACGGTCGTATGTCACTATTTTCAATGCCGTTGTAACTTTGAACAGACACTAAGTGAACTGATGGAAGTCGAGGACTATCTGTACATTATGCTCCTGCTTCCTATTCTGTTTTTCCTCTAAACAATTTTTCTGTGAGATGGGTTTGTCCTCTCCTTCTGTTTCTGATGTATACCGAAGGCTACTCTTTTATTTCTTTCCAGAGGAAAAATTCTGTTTCATATCTGTTACACTGTCCATCTGCTATCACATTTGATGCTAACCTGAGGCCCCACGTACTACATCATATTAGACAGTTTCACAAAGGCAATGAAATCTGGCCATAGCATAGAATATGATAACATTGTAACATTAAGTTACATGTCTAATTCTTTGTCTTCATTCTTTTTCCTGCTTCGGACTGCCATTTTAATATTTGCTAGAAGGATCTTAAAGTTTTTGAAAAGTATTTGCCTAATGTTAATCTACCCCATGATTTGCTTTCCCTTATGCTCCAATGGAGGCATTAAAAAGATTATCTCATTTTTTTTTAAAAAAATCACCAATGCAGAATCAGTTCTCTGCCCCTGATTATGTGTCAGTTGCCTACATTAAAACCATGATTCACTGATAAATATGTATATAGTTTGCTTTGTTGCAATAACCCACATGTATCCATCCATCAAATTCTGATCTGATCTTATTTGTAACATAAAAAGGACCTCAAAAGAAATTCCTATCATGCCATTAAGAGAACAACATGTGAATATAAAACTCACTATTTCTTATGTAGATAATACTAAACTGTAATCTAAAGTTTGACATTATGCCCCAAATCAACCGGTATTAACAAGCAGAATATTCTACAAAAACATTTTAACAATACTGTATACCCATACACATTTTGCTGCATAGTTGTTTCATACATGTGAGTTCTATCAATTTGAATGGTGCTTAATATTAGGACAAAAAGAAAAAGTATAAAAAATGGAAAGTGGGATCCATAACTAAAGCAGAATATCAGAATATAGCCTGAATCTGCAAAAATGAAGTCAAGAAAGTAAAGCTCAGAATGAAATAAGACTTGCAACAAATGTCAAAAATATTTTTTAAAAAGTTTCTTTCAACATGTAAAAACAAGAAAAAAGGCAAGGAAACAATCGGTCCATTAATGGGAGAAGATGGCAAGGAAGGCATGGGCAGCAGGGAGAAAACAGAGCTGCTTAATTCATTCTTTGCATCTGTCTTCATGCAAAAGGAAAAACAGCTCAATCTCTACCAAGAACAGAATCGTAAAAGACAGACTAGGAGTACAAATTAAAATAGACAAGAAAATGGTAAGAGAACACCTGTCCACTCTAGATGAGTCCAAATCACCAGAACCAGATGGATTACACCCCAGAGTTCTAAAGGAGCTGGCAGATGTGATCGTGGAACCATCAAACCATATCTTTCAAAGATCTTGAAGCACAGGGGAACTACCAGAGGATTGGAAAAGAGCTGATGTGATTCTCATCTTCAAAAAAGGGAACAAATGGATCCAGGAAAACTACAGACCAATCAGCCTGAGATCAATACCTAGGAAGATCCAGGAAAAGATAATAAAAAAAACAGATTTTGAACACCTAGAAGCAAGCAAAGTTATAACCAGAAGCCAACATGGGTTTGTCAAAAAGAGATCATGCCAAACAAATCTTATTTCATTCTTTGACAAAGTGACTAAATTAGTGGGCCAGTGAAATGCTGTGGACATAGTATTTCAGTAAGGCATTTGACAAAGTAGACCACAACCTACTTCTTCGTAAGTTAGAAAATACATCAGATGTATTTGTAACTGGTTTACAAACCCCACTCAATATGTAGTCCTAAATGGAACTACATCTGCATGGAGCAAAGTAAGCAGGGGTTCTCTCTTAGGCCCAGTATTCTTTAATATTTTGTTAAACGACTTAGATGAGGGAATAGAAGGGGAACTCATACAAATTTGCAGGCGACACCAAGGCAGCAGGAATAGAGATCACAGTGTAAAACAGTTATTGTTATATATTCTAGTCAAACTGAATTCTTTTTTAAGGAGATTGTCCCATTGTTAAATATTAAATGAAATGTTTGCTGTATAGATTATGATATATAACACAGATTATGAATTGATAACATCTGATCATTGACTGTAGTAAAGAATTTCATTTGATTTGTATTTATAAAGTCTTGTATATAGAGATGGAATGTTTTAAAATGGCAATGAAGCTATGAATGGCCTTTTTGAATTTGTGTTTAACTCACTTTGGTTTTTCCTTGGGATGCTTGGATCTTCGAATGTTAACTCTAAACAGCTAACCTGTTTCTTCCCTTTATTCACCTTTTTTCATCTACCATTGCATGACACAGGGTCAGTTTTGTGCATGACACCTGCTACCAGTATTGGTAGGTTTCAAACTTATTTATTGATCTCTTTTTAATAGTATTCTTTACCTTTCTTTGTTTGGAGAACTAAAATATAAATTAGACATAAATGGTTATTTTGAATTTTAGCTTGACTTGTTAAAACATTTGACATTTATTTTTTAAAAAAAAATAAAATAAAACCCTGCTATTTAGATGCATCATCATTTGCAATACCAGTCCTACTGCAAAATGCACTTATATCATGAAGTCGTGTGCTTTTGCTTTTTTAACTTATATTTTATAATGCTAGCATTATGTGACAAACTATTGAAAAAAGCAATTTAACTTCATTAGTATTTTGAAGTTTCATAGTGGTATGCCTACATTTTCTTTTTTGCTGTGTTGTAAAAAAGTTTTATCAGAATTTCCCAGAAATGTTATCTTAATATTTGCAATAAAAGTAAGCATTAAATATATTTCATTCAAAACTATTATAACTCTATTTAACATTGCACTCCTATAAGTCTTTTTAGAAGTTATTCTCATTTAATTCAATAATATATAGAAGTACAGTTTTAATTTTTGAAATATTAGAAAATTTTACCATTTTTCCAATAAACTTTTTCAAATTAATTTTGAGTATTCACATTATTAGGGTGCTGTTTGAATTTCCTGCCTTAGTACTTATATCTTAAAATTAAGGTTTTAGATTGTGTTTTTCAGATGCCCTCAACTTTCTCATACCCCACTTATATGTGGAAAAATGAATCAAAATTAATTATTATAATCTTCACTTTCCTGATTGAGATTGTATAAAATAAACAATTTTAGATAGTAATTAGGCTAGATCTAACTGTATTATAAAATAAGTGTGCTTGTAGATCCCAAGTGTGAATGTGTGTATATATACACACACGTATATATACACGCATATACATAATCACATACAAAGACTCACACATATATAAAATAAAAAGTCAAAAGAAAATATGAATTCAACTTCAGGTTGTTTTAATAGGTACATTTTTCCATTTCCAAAATTAAGTTCATTATATTTTTACTTCAATATAATAATGGAACTTCCCTGATATGAAATTATAGTATAGAATAAACTACCCCAACCTTTATCAAATGGTTGCCATTATATTGGAATACTATTCATGAATGTAATAAAAATTTGAACTCATATTTCAATTTTAAATATAAACTATTTGAAGGTGCTCATGAAATAGCGAACTCTCAACATTTGTTTATCTAAACAGCCTGGGAAGAAAGAAAAGGTTGGAATACAATTTCTGCTACCTTTATTTAACACTATTTTTTCATCGCTATATACTAAGACAGCGATGGCAAATCTTTTAGAGACCAAGTGCCCAAACTGCAACCCAAAACCCACTTATGTACCGTTGGGTGCCGGATGGGCGTGGCCCATTGGGTGGGTGTGGCCAATTGGGTGGGCCTAACCTATTGTGTAAGCGTGGCTGCAGTGGTAACGGCAGACTGGGTGGGACTAAAAAGTTCAATCAATCAGTTCCAACTTTGTGAGATCTTTTTTTTTCCGTGAGAAGATGAAATTGATTGATTGATTGATTGAACCTTTTTTTTTTTTTTTTGCACATGGCGGCAGAGGCCTAGTGAAAAGGTTTTATAAAACCCAGCTGAAGGCCTAGGACTGGGGCGATGACGCAAGTGCCCACAGAGAGGGCTCTGCGTGCCACCTGTGGCACGTGTGCCATAGATTTGCCACCACGGTACTAGGAAGTCAAAAACGAAAAAAGCAATGGTGAATAACTTCTGTTTTGTTGCCAAAGAATGATACATGAGCCTATACCTTTATACAATCACTAAGAGAGTTTTTACTTTCCCATATATATAATTCACTTCATTAGGTGCCTCATAAGTAAACTATACTGTATATGGTAAAGCAGATGGGTACATTTAGTTGACTTTGCACATGTTCAGAAGGTAAGCAGAGTTAGACCCAGTAAGTCTTTGAATGGCAGACTACCAGAGAATATGGGGGCTGTAGTCAAGATTGGGAAGTTGAGAAATATTCCAGAAAGCATGATCAGTCTCTTCTGTTTTGTTTCCAAGAAAACATCATGGGCCTATTCACGAACTCAGTGCAAAAACCTAAGAAATATGTGATTGAATAATAGCAAAGGCTGTGATGGAAGCAGATACAAAATGCTAAGAAATAAAAGGGAGGGAGGAATCTGTTGGAAGCAAGAATTCATACTGGACATTGTTCCCAAAAATGTAAACCAGCTCCAGCAAGTGTAAAACAGTGTTGGTAGTATAAAAGAAGCAGAACAAGACTGACATGCTCAATAATGGTTCTTGGTCGGTCAGAATTGTCCAGGAAAGCAGCACCTGCAAGAGATAGGGAATTACACAGGGAAAGAACCAGTTAGAGACGTACATAATACTATTCATATTAACACAACAATAAATTATGCTACATTCAGTAGAACATAGAATCAGAATCAATACATTGAATCAGAATCTTTAGAAAGAAGCTAAGAAAAGGATAACAGATAAAACAGCCATTATTTTAGTAGACAATTTCTTCGTGTATTGATATAAAAAGGAGACAGAAATAGACTGAAATGTAGTTTTCAGTGGTTTAAGCTGGCCATAGTGCCTTAGAATGCCAAAAAGGTACTGTTTCAGAAATGATCGCAAGAATCAGGTATCAAGACAAAGCAGCTTTCTCTTTGTGAGTGATGTGGTTACTGGAACCCACCTTATGATTATAGAAAGGTAACTCTTAGCAACATAAACTTGGGTTGTGAAGCTGCTGTCTTAAAAAAGGTAAAGTAGTCCCTGCGATTTTACTCTATTAGTCATTGCTGACTACAGGTGAAGGTGTCGAAAAGCATTAAAAGGATAGGAAAGTTTTATTTAAGGAAAGTTGGGAAAAAACATGGAAAATTGTTCTCCACTCCATCCCGATGAAACAGGCTAATTTGGAAGGAGGATGAATGTTTCGTGAGAAAGTCACTAGGCATTGCTAACTAAAATCAATTTACAGCACATGCTTTGAGAAAAAGACTATGTAGGACAGGGGTGTCAAACTGCCGGCCCCCGGGCCAGTTTCATCATACAGGAGCCGCGGCTACCCCATTGCCGGCAATGGCAAAAAAGCTCCGATACATCGCGCGACGTCACATGACATCGTGAGTTTGACATGCCTGATGTAGAATATACAGAGAAAGTTTCTTTATAATTGCCACTGACTCTCAAATAATGCTCCCCTGCTTTCTTCTTTTTGGAAGGAACCTTCTAGAACAGCATGAGATATGGTAACACCAGATCTAGATCAGTAATCACAGTTCCAAAAAGATTCGCCCATCAGCTGTTTTCAAATATCATTGAAACTATAGGAAGAATATTGAAACATTACCCAATACTTGGATAACATTAACAAGTACCTAAGACAACTATTTTTTTCTGGGAATTGCTGATAACTATGACTCCTTTAAATTGTACATATAATAAGCTATTTTCCCTTTTGTTTTATTTCTCTACCATGCTTTCTTGCTTTGCATTGTGATTGCATGCCATCTGCTGGTTTAACATATGATGGCTTGCTGCTCTGATATTCACCATGCCAAAATTCCACTTCCATTGCCATAATGCTACCCACACCGCTTCATTGGCTCCCCTCCTGAAAGTTTCCATGATGCACAGCGCTACGTCCGCCACTGTCTCTGCACCAACAGCTCCTACAGCAAGTGTCCCCTTCGCTGCAGCAGCCTCAGCCAATCAGGTTTGCCTCTTTTAAAGCTTTCTTTCATTTCACAAATCCCAAACTCTAAATGAGTGCTGGTATTTATTTTAAAAAAAATTCTCCCAGAGAATTTTTTTCTTCATGTTTTTTACCCATCAGACTTTACTTTGAAATAATTATTTAGCTAATATTTATGGACAGGTTGCACTTATTTAGAGTTAACATTTATTGCAAATAAGGGTGTAATATGGCTCTCTGTATATATATTTTTTTGTCTCTAACACTAGCCCAGCCGCTCAGCAGCCATTTTAATGCTGATTTTAGTTATCATCCAATTAACTTTTAAATTTTAGAACAAAATGTGTTAAAACTGGGTTTAATCTTTAACTATTAACTATCTTTTCTCCAGACCATAATTTTAATTAATTAATTAACCTTTTAAAGCAAAAAAACAGAGTAAAAGATTGAGGCTGAAGAACATTTCTACATACCATATTGAAGCTTGCATACTATAATTGCAAGATTCAACGGGATTTTTAATGTGGGCTGCAAAATTCTGGATGGCCGCTTGGTGGCAGCAAAGAGTTAGAGTTTCTCTTTCGCCTAATAGTCCCCCCTCCCCTTTTTTTGGCGTTTCAAACATGGCAATTCTATTTGGTCCTAAGAATTGTGTCTAATAACCATTCATAATATTGCTCTTTTCTTTCTGCTTTCTTTCCGTATTTAACTGCTTCTATTCATGGTAAAAGTAATCTTCAAATAGGAGTTATACCTACATTAATACACATAATTCCTATCTATAAACCTAATGAGGTTTAGGGAGATTATATCTTTTCATGTTTGTAAAATGGAAGTGAAGCAATTCCTGATTGGATCTGCAGTCGTATTTCCATTCCCTCTGGCTGTATGTTCTTGCTGTTCCTTCCTTCAAATCCTTGAAATGTATAGGAAATACTTCTAAATTAATGAAGCTATTGAAAAGATTATTAGAATATATTATTAGTAGCAGTAGAAGTCCAGGCGAACACTGAAGTACCATTATTACAGGAACTTCATTAAAAAGGGTTTTAGAAAATATCTGTTCCCGTTCTTCATGTATAGAATAATTACATAAGGAACTTTTTTCCTGGGTTCTCCTTGGATTAAATGTTCTTTGGAATGGATTAACAAAAGAAAACAGTTTACATTTTCAGTCTTTTAAAATACTGAAATTAAGGAATGTATTGATTGTGTCATCCTATTTTATCACACTTTTTAACCTTTGCTGCCATTTTGGCAACATACTGCTCTATATAGTTTTATTAATCATCACTGGAACATTTTATGAAATTAATCTATTTTTACAACACCAAAGCCAATGAAAAGTGCTAAACTGACAATATGTACAGCTACTCTAAATTTGTTTTTTTTTCTCTCATTTGAATGTGTGGGAGAAGTCTTTAAATATCCAAACACAAATGCATTACAGCCTGTTGTTTCAAATTAAAGCTTAACAGTATCAAAAGTGGTTTTTAATTTTGAAAAGGCAACTGGTCTGATTTTTTTGAGGAAAAACAAGACGTTTCGCTTCCTATCCTGGAAGCATCATCAATTGTATTGGATGCTGTGGGAGATGGAAGGACAGTTATTGACGGTTGAGATTAGTTGGTGGGAGGGGAAAGATAGGTTCTGACAGGTTCTAGGTTCATAGACATTAGAGCAGCGGTTCTCAACCTGTGGGTCGGGACCCCATTTGGGGTCGAACGACCATTTCAAAGGGGTCACCAAACAACGCAGTCCGCCATTTTTTTCCCCCTTTTCCTTAGCTGTGCTACTCCCTTTTATTCTATTGGCTTTTGAAAGCCAATAGAATAGACTCTCTTGAATAGAGTCTAATTCTATTGGCTTTCAAAACCAATAGGAATTGTCCAGGCTGTCTCTGCCCTGCTGAGCCCGCCAAAAATCCCATTCTGCAAACGGTGCTGCACCAGTTGAGTAGTCCTCGACTTACGACCGGTTGAGTAGTCCTCGACTTACTACCGGTTGGGGGTCGCGGCATTAAAAAGGTTGAGAACCACTGCATTAGAGTTTGTCAGATTTCTGTCTTCAGGTTGCTCTGACATGAGTTTAAGGAATGTCCTTCCTGCCAAATAAAAGCTAGCAGGGAACTGAGACCACCTAACTCTTTTACAAATAGCTAACAGAATCTAGACAGATATATAGATAACTATGTTTTTAGAACTGTTTCCTTATGAATCCTGTTAAATGTCAAATGTCACTAGGTTCAACTACCGGTAATTTCCAGTTTTACTTTCTTACAAATCAGTGAATCATAAAGTAATATATCAAATCATTAGGTTATTAAACTTTACTAAAGTAGAGGACTACAGTATCCAAGAAAAATAAAAGAATGTAAAATTCAGATACTGTATAATTCGTTATGAAGATATGTAAATGAAACAAGCACTAAAGAAATACAAGTAATATTATACACATAACTGAATTCATGCTATATTCAAAAAGTAATTGTTTATTTCATGTGTGTCATAGAATAATATTTGTTTTCAAAAAATCTCCATGCAGGACATTTTCAGTCAGTGAACAGTAGACACCTGTTTCGCCACTTACATTTTTATTAAGTTTATCAGGATATAAAATACAAAAGAAAATTAAAATTGTGGGGAAACGGGGGAGGAAAAAGGGTAGGATAAAGGAGTGGAAAGACTTCTGATCTTTTTAAGCACAATAGATTAGGATAATAACATTGCAACCTCAATTTTTTAGTTTTACATGCTAGTTAATTTATACTAGCCATTTCTATAATGACAAACCTATCTAATCAAAGTCAAAGTTTCATTTTTTTTTGTCTCAGCCACAAAATCCAGAAGTGGTTTCCAAGTAGAAACAAAATTAGATGTGTTCTTTTCTTTGATTAAGGCAGTCACTTTAGCCATCTCTGCAAGTTCCATCAGTTTTTTCAGCCAATCATTCATTGTGGGAATTAAGATATTTTTCTGTGTTTGTATATAAAGCATTCTTGCTGCTGTCAACGTATATAACAAAGTTCCATTTTTTTCAAGTTTCTTTGTCCATTAAGCCTAAAATAAAAGTCTCAGGTTTTATCTTTATATTTACTTTAAGAATCTTCTGTATTAAAATATGAATCTTACCCCAGTAATATTTTGCAATGTCACATGTCCAGCAAAAATGCTAAAAAGTTCTTTCTTTACTTTATATTTCCAACATACATTTGAAATACCTTTATACATTTTTGACACTTTATCTGGTGTTAAATACTAACCATATATCATTTTATAAAAAATGTCTTTTAAATTATAATTTAATTTAAATTTTAAGCCCTTCATCCATATATTTTCCCATTGTTAAAGCATTATACTATATCCAAAGTTCTTTGTCCATTGGATCATGCAATGCTTCACACATTCATCCTCTAGATTCTCCAAATTCTTTCAAGTAACAGGTTATAAACCTTGGCAATATGTTCATCATTACCACATGGTACAATATTCATTTCATGACTTTTTAAAATCTACTGTAAACCTTTCTTTCAATTGTAAATAAGTAAACCAGTGACAGACACATCTTTCTGATTCCAGCTTTTCTTTGGATTTGAGGGTGGGTTCACCTCGATTTAAAAAAATTATTTGACCTTATTCCACCATTCTGGTCTTTCTGAGTGATACTCAAAGAGTTACTTTTGCACAGAACCTTATTTTATATTTGTTCCAAACCTTTAAGATGGCATGTCTAACATAGTAATTGTTGAATTGTTGATTGTTGATATCATAAGTAGGCATGCAATCCAAATCTTAATTCACGGCTCTCTAACTCAAGTAGTCTCTTATTTTAGAGAGTTACCCACTCTTTCATCCAGGCCAAACTACAGGCATCAAAATACAATTTCAAATGTGATAAATCCAAACATCGTCTTTCTTTAGAATCTTACAGTAGTTTATATCTAATTCTTAGTTTTTTCCTTGCCAGGAACTTGAAAATTTGCCATGGTTTATAAGTATCAGTAAAGTCTGAAATAATAACATCTTTAGTAGAACATTCATCTTGATTCTACCCAATAAGGATTCAGAGATTCTACCCAAGAAGAAGAATTGCAGACTATCCCATCTTAATAAGTCTTTTTTTTATATCATTGTACACAGATACAATTTAGAATTTATATTTGTCAATGTAAACCCAGTGTATTTCACCTTTTTCTCCACCATGAAGCCTCACTGTTTTGTCAATATTTTATAATTGTGAAAAGCCATATTCTTGACAAGCATTGTTGTTTCCTGTTTATTTATTTTGAAGGCCACTAAAGTTCCAAAGTCATTTAGTTTCTTCATCAAGTTTCTATACAAGTTTTTGGTCTTGCAAAAATATGACTAAGTCATAAAAATGCTTTCAATATATGAATTTATTTTTTTTAAATATTCATGCCTATTATTATCTCATCCTGTCTCCTATTCAGTACTTCCAGCACGAGTATAAATAACAAAGGAGATAAGGGACAGCCTTGTCTTGTACTCTTTTGAATTTAGTTAAATCTCCAATAATAACAATCTTTGCTTGCGTAAAGTATAAATGTCTTTAACCCTTTGAATAAATTTCTTCTTGGAATTCATATCTTTCATCTAAACATGAAGACCCAATTTTAATTATCAAAGGCTTTCTCAATATCCAAAAATATTAGAACTGCTTGCTTCTCATTCTGGTATTGTTATATTATGTACTATTTTCCAAAGCACCAGAAGGCAAGACAAGAAACAATGGATGGAAACTAATCAAGGGGAGAAGCAACCTAGAACTAAGGAGAAATTTCCTAACAGTGAGAACAATTAACCAATGGAATGGCTTGCCTTCAGAGGTTGTGGGTGCCCCATCACTGGGATTTTTTAAGAAAAGACTGGACAGCCACTTGTCTGGAATGGTATAGGTCTCCTGCTTGAGCAGGGGTTTGGACTGGAAGACCTCCAAGGTGCCTTCCAACTCTGTTATTCTGTTAAGTATTCAATAACATTCAGAATAGTTTCAACATTGTC